GGGTCAAAAGTGCAGGTAAGAGTGGGGCGGGAGGGGGCAAGGCAGTCTTGTGGGATGGAAACCTTAACCTGTGGAATCTGAGGCTGCCTCTGAGTAGATGGTGTCAGAATTGAGTTGAATTCTTGGACACTAGCAGGCCCAAGAATTGCTTGTTGGTGTGGGATCAAACCTCCCTTAACCCCTCCATGTTGGAATTGTATCCAGGAAACCAATTTAGAGGGAGAGTAGGAAGGATTAGGTCATGAGGTGACAAGGAGACGGACTGTAAGGCTTTGCAGGCTGAACTCATAAAGACTCTGGCTCTTATTTCAGAGGGGATGGGAAGCTACTGGCTTTGAATGGAGGAGTGATATGATCACACCTACCTCTTAATAGGATCCCTCTGGTTCATTGTGTGCTGCCTTTTGAGTAAGAAAGGAAGAAAGAGATACTAGTGTGTGTTTGTGAGAGAGCAAGCATGTGTGAGCATGCACGTGTGCTTATATTCAAGAAGAAATAATGGAAAAATAAAATTTAAAAGTAACAAAGAGTGGTTACCTACAGTGGGAGGAAGGGAACAGTGTGGGAACAAAGTACTTCTGTGAATTTACTTTGTTATATATTTTTAACTTTGGAACCATGTAGATATTTTATATAATTTAAAAAAAAGTAAATCAAAAGGGAAAAAAAGCAATCCCTAGGATTTTAAAATACACTGAAACAAACATATCAAGTCTGTAGCAATGACTACACAGAGAAAATAATTACTTCAGGTAACTTAAAATACAGTACTTTGACTGTTCATCCCTAGTGTGATATATTCTAAGGACTCAGAGAACTGCTAAGAAATCTAAAACTATATTCAGCAGTCTTGTTAATAGCTGTTCTAGAATTAATGAAATGACGATAGCTACATTGTCAAATAAAGCAATGACATTGTCATTAAGAATCATGATTTTCGGGGTAAAAGAAAAGATTACAGGTATAAAATCAAAGAAATTAAATAAGAGTCCTGTAATCTGAAACTGGAAATGTAAATATCAATATGGACTCTAATTAGTTTTGGTTTTGATTTTTCACCTAAAAAAATCTGTTTCTAACTTTACTGAAAATGAAAAGCCTTGGAAGCAGTAGCAATAATACAGCGTTTAGCATCCCCAGTGTCCAAGTGGTGGTCTCTACTACGCATTAAAAGAAACTGAGGTGGTTTTGTTTTTGTTTTTGTTTTTGTTTTTGAGAAATGGCTGATTCCAGGCCTAGAGCAGGAAATAGAAACCATAAGCCTAAGCTATAGTGTGCTGGGAAGTAAGAAAATTAATAGAGGTTAATGGAGTTCTGTCAGGACTCCCATATGCTTAAGACAGAACAATTTGTGCATCAAAAAGAATAATGACTACAATGGATTAAAGCATATCAGATACATAAAAATTCATGTATTCATAATGAGAAATAAAAAGGAACTCATTGGTCACAATTTAGGGGGTTAGAGCATTAACTCAATTCTTTGAAAATTAATGAAGGTAGTTTTTTCCTCCTTTCCTATACAAAGGAATCTCTGAGAAATCAGAGGGTTAATGAGAGAGTAGGCCTCTTTATAGAATTCCAGTTAATAAATGCAGGAGCACTAGAACTGGAAAACCACTCTTTTGCCACCTCTAATAAGAAAATGGATCTAGGCAGCAATCACCAGGTGAAAGACGATGGGAAAATATAATGGAGGGATCAGACTCTGCCATTTGAAGCTGCGAAACAAACTTGGCCCTGATAAAACTGTGGCAGCCAGCCACATGGTGACTCATGATGCAATGTCATGGGAAGTACCTAGGACCACTCGAGAATTGCTCTTGTCCAGAAATTTGAATGTGACTCCAACCAAGCCTAACACGAATCTAACAGTTCATGGGACACACAGGGATCAGAGGAATGAGTTAAAGGCACTTTGAGGAGACAGTCAGCCAAATCTAAAATGTGGGGCATTTTATAAGATAAAGGACCTGGTTTCTCTAACAAATTGGTGGCATGAAAGAAAAAAAAAGGCAGGGAGAGAAATTGTCATGTAAAATGGAGAGATTTAAGTGACGTAACAACCAAAAGAAATGAAAAAGGACCACTCTGGCTGTTGTGTTAAGAATAGACCATACTGAGCAGCAGGGCCCCGGTTCGGATCCCACATGAGGGCCAGTGACACTGCCCTCTCCAGCTAAGATGGTGAACAACAGCTTGACTTGGAGCTGGGCTGTCGTTAGTTGCAGGTGACGGCGTAGGCTGCAGTGAAGCTGCAGTGGGCTGCCGTAAGCTACCGTGTGTGGCTGGCAGCCAGCGTGAGCGGCTGGCAGCCAGCGTGAGCAGCCGGCAGCCAGTGTGAGCTGCCAAGAGCCGCCGTGAGTGGCCGTCCAGAGGCCGGCAACCCATCTGCCTCATCCGGGAAGAGTGCAATGATGATACCAACATGGGCCAGTGAAGCGACATCCTCCACAACTAGACTGAAGAACAGAAGGGCAGCAACTGTCTATTCCCCTTCCCCCGATTCCCCAGCGCTGTTCCCCTCCCCCAATTTCCCAATAAAATCTTTAAAAAGAAAAAGAGGGAGAGAGGGAAGATGCAGAAAGTCAGAGGCATTAAAAGAAAAAAAAAAGAATAGATCATACTATGCCCCAGAGTGGGCACCGAGCTCCTCTTGAAGTCTTAATCTCAAACAGAGACAGCTGGGGAGGCTCCTGTCACAATGCTTCTCATTATTTACATGTTAAAATGTTTGTAAACACACACACACACAAAGAATATACCATAAAAGATCAAGAATAAAAGCAGGAAAAGAAGCTCTTACAAAATTCCAGGTGAGATTTTGGACAAGGATGATAGCAGGCTGGTGTTGGATTCTGGATGTTTTGAAGGTATTATCAACAAGAATTGCTAACGGATAGATAAAATGTGAAGTTTCAGAGAGAGTCCACGATGACTCACAGGTTTTTGGCCTAAGTAACTGGACCAGTGGAGTTGCCATTTACCGAAATGGGGAAGACGGAGGGAGAAGCAGGTTTATGGGGAAACGTTAGGAGGAGCTCCGTGCTTAGCTCCATGTCTTCAGCCTGATAGGTCTTTTGAATACCCACGAGGAGATGTCAAGGAGGCAGTTGGATATAAATGTGGAGTATTTAGGTCGGGCCCAGGTCTGAGATGTACATTTGGAAGTCCTCAGCATGAAGATGGTATTGAAAGCTATGAGACTGGCTGAAAGCACAAAGGGAATGAGTACCTAGTGAAGAGGTTCCAGGAATGCACCTTCGAGATGCTAATCAGCAGCCGGGGGGG